GGAATAACTTACAAGCAGTAACAATTCGGGTAGCAGAAAATTCGAGCGTGATAAAAAAAGCTCCACTCGATCGATCGTCGAGCTTTTATGAGTACTTACTACACACCCTTATTCCTAACCCGACTATATGGAGACTTGACGCGATCATTCTCTGTCACATTAATCTCGAATCGGCAATAAATGAGACTGTTGACTTTCACGAGCGATCCTGTGAAAATACTGTGGAATCACGTTGAAGATTAGTGCATGAGATGCTCTATAGGAGCTGATGATGTCAGTAGGATTTTTGCTGGTGCACGCCGTATATTATAAGAACCGAAGATGCCAGACCATCATCGGCCTCGCGCCGTGCTGAGCGCCCAGCAGCAACTCTCCAACAGCAGCAAGCAACGTCGCAACGCAGAATGTATCCTCTAATTACGTTTGTGCGCGCGCGGACGCAAAAAAAACACGCAATGGTCCAGAGAGCTGTGCTGCGTGCGTTGCTCTCTGGCATAGAGTCGACTCGCGTGCAGTCACTAATTAGTTCACTAATGAGGATAGGCAACAAGATAACAATGCGACGAGGCACCCGCACACGCACAGCACACACATCCCTCGCTCTCTGTATCAGTTTTCACAGCTGACTGGCCTGAATATGCATGAGAGAGAGAGAGAGAAATTATTTCGTCTTGGAGCTCGTACGCTTTTTTTTGTGCCTCATCTCGCGCCGCAGCTAGAGAGCAGCTCGCCAGCAGCCCCCATGCACCTGTGTGCGCGCTTATGTATATAATAGGTGGTATACGTGGTGCTCGCCGCGTACTCTCGGCGTGCATCACATTGTCGTCCATCGCGCGCTCTGGCATGTTCTAATTGCCGCCTGGGATCTCTTAACAAAGAGCCAGAGCAACAAGCGCCTTTCTTGCAGAATAAAATGGCACGCGAGAACACACTCACACACGGCGGCGTATGTGTGTATATGGTATACACGCTGCTTTTGCGTGGTTAATCCAGCTTATATGTATATCGTATACCTACTACCTGCCTGCCTGCCTGCCTGCCTCGTTGTCGAGGGCGCGCACCTAGCTCCTGCGGCGTATACGAGCGAGCGGGCGCGCGCACCTCCTACGCGTACACACCAGCCCATGAATATTTATCGCTCGAAGCAAGGATTTGCCTGTGTACTCGCTTTCTCTCTCATTCTGTTTCTCTGCGTATATGCAGAGTCTCTCTCTCGCGCTCAAGCTTTGCCCTGCGTATGCAGTTGGCGTGTCTTGTGCTTCTTCGAGCGTGCCTTGTTTTTCCTGCCTATATGTACTACGACTACTACTACTGCGAACTACGCGGCGCATAAGCTCGAAAATTGAACATTTGCACGGCAGCAGGCATCGATTTTCGGCTTCAAAAATGCAGCTCGCTCCCCTTTGCGGATTGCGCGCGCGGAGTCGCGACTCGACGTCGACGTTAGACGTCGTACGTCGTACGGCTCACGACGACGACGACGTTGCTTGAGCCTCCCTTTACCTGTCGCGCAGCTGCCGAGTTCAAAAATAGAGACGTGTCTCGCGAAGTTTCGGCGATACTCGATGGATCGATATTCAATCGTCCAAACTTCTTTTGAAGTGAAACTTTTCTATGGGCGCGTTAGGTACACCGACGAGAAAATAAACATTACATCGCACAGAATGCTCCACTTCGAATAATTTAATGAACCGAAGCGAAAAACTGCAATGATTTTGACTTTTATTATTTTTTTCTGATTCTCACTGGCACGTCAAAAATGTAGATTTGAAGGACAAGATTCTCATAGAAACCTACTGGAAAATTTTTTTTATTCCTTAATACATCTGTTTTGAAATCGAATTTGCGCAGTTATCGAATGATTTCGAGGCACATTAACAACGAGCTATGCGCGTATTAGGGATTCGAGCATACACAACTCAACCGAAGGGGCTTGTTAAGGATTAAAAGTTTTCCGAAGGGACCTTATTGGCTCTCTCACTCTCGTGTAAGCTCGTGTGTGCGAACATACGCAAGCTCAAGTTCACACAATCTCTCTCTCTCGTATTTTCTCGATTGCGATGGATTTCATTTTACCAGTGATCGCGATGAACGACGATCATCGCGCGTATCGTGCCTCTTTCGTTCTCTCTCTTACTCTCAACCTAATCTTCTTTTTTACTTTTTGCTAAATTCTTCGTGCGCACGATTCATTTTTCGCGATAAAACCAAGTCTTACCAGTCGATATCGACGATCTTTACAGCATAGGTGCATGCTATTTCCATTCACGGCGACGGCGGCGCAGCCGGGCTTATTCGAATAATTCATTGCTCCCGAGCTTTAGCACTTATGACATATTCATACATTTATTTCACGTGCCCGTATATCACGGGGAAACATTTGATTATCACGCTTCGACTTGGCTTCTTCTCCCACTCTCCGTATAATATATAAAGCATGTCCGAGTACGCTCGAACAAAATATTTCGAATTCCTCTCGTACAATTTATATACATTATACATCGTCGGTTCGAAAGTTAATGTCGCTCTGTCTCTCTCTTTTCAAATCCGATGAGGGTGTAATATAAAGTCTCAAATGTAATCGCTTAGCCGCGCCCGGCGTTTATTTTTACTGCCTTCTTGCAGAATTTTCAAGCCCGTTTGAGCGTCCGAGCTTCTTCTTTATTATTTCATCGCGCGCCATATAATTTTGCATAGCCGCGTGCGCGCGCTCGCGTTGTCTAAGTACTTTTACTTAGTTACCGTAACGTCGTTATTTTTTGAGCTTCATCGAATAAACAACTTTGAAAAGCTGCGTCGAAGAAAAAACTTCGCTCCCCCATAACGGACGAGAAAAAGGAATTTTGAATAGTTGCGCGCTCGCCGAGTAACGATTTTCTCGGGTTTATTTATTTTTTCCTTATTTTATCTCTTTTAGTTCAAAGTATAGGCAACAACAGAAGCGCCGCGATGAAATGATCGTACTTTGTCTCGCAGAGACTTTTAAGGTGAAACTTTTAACACGTATTACACGCAAAAGGAAATTCTTCGAATGGACTGAAGCTGATGCGGTTGGGACTCAGACCGACCACCCAACTTGGACGAGCGAGGCGAAGCAGCCGCTGGACAAAAGACAATTATTTCTTAGGGGGAGGTGGTGGCGGCGGCAACGACGAGTACGTTTAGTTGAAGTAACGCCGTGTACGCCTCGTACGCGCGCTTAATTGAGCTGAACAGAAGCAGCACACAACGCGTCGTCGTTGCAACGTCGTTTCCCGAATGCTCGAAATAGTTTGCTCTCGACAACGCAGTCGTGGCGTTGCGACATCTAATGACTCGTTCGCAAGTAACTTCGAGTCTTATAATACCCGATAGAAGTACGTGCAACTTAAGCTCCGGCGTGGCTAAGGTCGATTCATGGCGCCGGGTAAAAAACAAATGTTTTAGCGGATGACTTGCCGATCGAGTCTGCTATGCGTCTTAGGTATTTCTTGTTTTGAACCAATGGTCGATAGACCACGATCCGCTCGTAACTACGACTAATAGCTTGATAAAAATCACGCGAAAGATCAACAGGCTGAACTCGAAAAAAAAAAAACAGAATCCGACGTGAACCAAATTTTCGAGTTAATGCAGAAGCTGATCTTTATTCGCTCGGGGAGCTGCAAGCACAGTGTCCTTTTAACCTCTCGACGCGTGCATCGTGCAGATTTGCATTCGTATATATATTCGTCGTAGTCGGTGGCGGCACGTCCTTGCTATAAATTCCCTAGCTGCCGTGAGTTTGTGCCCGTATATAAGCGCTGGAAACCGAGGCTGATCAAAGGACGACTTGACACTCGAGTTTCTCTCTCTCTCTCTTGCGATCGTATAGTTTTCACTCCGCGCGCGCTGTGCAGTGACTGACTGACGCGGCCGCCGCCGTTTGCGTGTGTTTGCAGTAGTGCATCGAATGAACTCGTACAGTAGTATACTACGCCCGAGTCAAGACTTACCCCGTGCGCGCTCATGATGGAGGGCTGCGAAATTGAAATGTGCTCGTCGCGAGAGTCAACTTTGCCGCTGCTGCTGCTGCTGCTGCTCTGTGGATGAATCCGATGATTTATGATCCCGAGGCGCGAGCGCGTTTCATTATCAAGCTCGTGCGGCGAGGAATGTGCTTTGACGCGCATGTGTAGCTTTGCCTAAACGAGTGCGCCGACGACTATATTATGAAAGACGACGAAGGACTCTGTTATATAGAACACGAGTCGAGAAATTATTGTCGGACCGCTGTTTTTGAGCCTGATTAAACGCGTGTAATGTGCAGCCCTTATACGAGTATCCAGAAGTCAAATTCTCTTTGCCCCGCGTATAATATTGGAACTTGAACGTCAATGGAGCCTGCGATGTTCGAGCGACACTCGTAGTGCAGCTTTAAAAGCTGACATCCTGCTGGTTTAGCTTCTCCTTTTTTTACTTCAAAAATGCAAGCCGCGATGTTCCACCTATACGTGGCATATAGAGGAGAGAACCAGAGAGAAGCTCCGAATCGACTTGAGCGTATATATTCGAATGTTTTTTATCGACAAGATAAACCAACGTGTATGCGAGCATAGTACGACGTCGAGAGGCGCATTCGACCAATGTTCTCTTGCTTTCGTCGCTGCGCCACTACGAGTTCAAGGACCGTGGACGAGTGTATGCGTTTATTTACACCTATTTTTTATCCGATTCCGCGTGTTCCTAGCAGCGCGCACCCCTTATCTTGCAGATAGTATTTTTTGCACTATTGGTACAGCTTGTTGCAGCTGTAGAAGTTAGCCCGATCGAATGGTCGACCAAACAATTGTCGTAGTATGGTGAAAAATACACATCATTTCAGAACTCCGCGTTGCATACTCGAGAAACGAAAATAATTTGAAAAAATATTGCTCTTCCTTTTGCGAGTCAGTTTGCGATCTAATAAAAATTATTATAGATGTTTTTTTTATCAACTGCTCCAACCTTTCAACTAACAATCGAATTATTTCTTTTTGCAGGACTTACAATCAGAAATCGAGACTCATCACGATGTCTATTCGTCGCTCAATGGAACTGGACGCAAACTTCTTAGTTCGCTCGCGAGTCAGGACGATGCGGTTATGCTTCAACGCCGGCTTGACGAGATGAATCAAAGATGGCATCATCTGAAGGCGAAGAGCATGGCTATCAGGTACATTTTCAAAACTTTTTAACTATTTTAATTGCTTCGATAATTTCGAATTAAAAAAATTATTCGTACTTTTGAATCATATCATTAAAATAAGAATGAGATTAAATGTGCTATTCATCTTATTATGCTCGTTCATTAAGTCGACAATTTTTCGGAATCTTCTTCGATAAGTTAAGAGCTCCTGTGTACGTATAGGCTTGATAGTCGCTCTCAAGTTCATCCCCAAAAGTGCCACGGCAAAGTCATGGAAATTATTTTCCGCTCATGCACTTGTTATTATCTATGAGTTTTCAACTGCCGAGTGTTTTAGTTAGTCAAAATTTTCCCTTTCGCGCAGCAGTCTTCGCTCGCGTCACGTTTTCGAGCAAGTTTGCGAACTCGTTTTTTTTCTTTCTTTCTTTTTTTTTTAAAGCTCTAGTCGACCTGGTGCGCGGCGCTGGCACGCTCTTTTCTCTCTCCTTCCTGCGCCGTGTCTTCCGCGCGTCGTTGTGAGACGCGCGCGCCTCGTCGTGTTCTTTCTCGTGCGCTCTCGGCAAACTTAGATTTCGCCCGAGCGTCTAAATTACTCATGCGAGACAGGCTGCGCTAATGCGACAGATTTTTTTCTCACATCATCAAGAAGTAAACACACATTGACTTTTACTGACTTCGAGGCATGGAACAAGGCAATAAAAGTACATCAAATTGAGCATACGCACGCACTGCATGACATAAATTGAAAAATTGAATAAAAAAAATTGGGAAAAATTTAAAGTAAAAAAACATGTTGATAAAAGCGAAATAATGTCTCTGTGAATTACTGCTGTTGAGAAATAAAAATTGGGCAATCGATCTGTCATTCCTTTAATAATCTATTAGGTCCGAAACGCGGCTTTTGTTTTATGCAACGAGAACTTTAAACGAGCTCATTCTCGCCGAGCCTTACGCTTTTGTGTGTTGTTTGCTGCGTCGAGTCAGGTATGTTCTACGACTTTGACAAAATAAATGCGGGCGTCGGGCAAAAAGTATAAACGTCGACAAAACGTGTACGCGTTGACATTTATTTTGCACGCATTGCCACTTAGCCGCACGCTCGTTTTTTTTTTGTGCAAAGCTCAGCAACGTGACGCAACATTATACTCTGTGCTCTGTGCCGAGCTCGTGTCCCCGTGAGGTGAAAAAAGTTAACGTTAAAAATAAGCGCGCGCGTTCGAAAAAGCCCTGAGTTAGCCTATAAATAATACATGGCTCTGCACAGGTTGTTGCTCGTTTCATACACTTGAGATAGAGTCGAGCGCTCGAGATCGAGCTGTAGTATATACGGTACACAGTCGCGTGTATACGAATGAAGTGGCGGTTGAAGAGTTTGTTCCTCTTTTCAATCCGGCTACGGCTCTGGGCTGCATTATGCGAATGGTTTTTCTGCGATACCAGTCGATTTTTAACTCGATGTAAAAGTCAGCGGCCCAAACAGAGTCCACTTATGGATAATTGCGAGTTTTTAACTTGACTTAATTCGACGAGGCATCGAGAAACTTCCGCCCCGCTTTGAAATGAATCCCGACAATGCAGTCGAATGAATCTTGTGAACACCGAGAAAATTGATATTACGAGGATATGAAAAAAGAAAAGCCGCGATATAGTAACATTATGAATTACCAGGTCGCGCGCAGCTTAAAACGGACTTGTCCGTGACAAAGATGTTTACTTTTAGCCTCCGCCGCGCGTTTGCATTTGCGCAAGGCGTCGTCAGTCGCGCATACAACCGCAGAGAGACAGAGAGCAGCAGCAGTGGAGCAGCATCTTTGTCATGGTAATTTTTAGCGCGACATTTTTCAAGCTCGTCCACTTTTCATTTCTCTCTCTCTCGCCTATATATGAGAGCTTGCAGCGCCCGCGTACCACCACTCGCTCGCCTTGACTCGTAGATTCCTCTTTCCTTTTTCCAAAGATTATTCTCTTTTCTGCTGACATATTAAGTACATTTTTTATCTCTCGCGCAGCCCAGAGAATCTCTAGCAGCTGTGCCGCGCGCTGCACACACAGAAACGCAGTTGGTATAACGTTCAGCTCGCGCTGCACATATATAGCACCGAGTGCAGAGCTCGAGTCGCTTCTTCTCTCTAGAGCATGACCTTTAATTATTCCTCTTGATTCACCATGGCATAAGTAATATGTTCACGTACACACTCGGCGTGTGCGCAGTGTGTGCGATAGGCCTATCGCAATATGTATACGGTCGCACGCGAATATGCGTATAATACAGCAAATAGTTAGTGTGCACCACGAAATCCTTCGCTGCTGCTACAGTACGTCGGATTCACCGCGTGCTACATACTCGGGGTTATATAAATGCGAGGCTCTTGAAATATTTATGCGTATTAGTAAGTCGTATCGTCTCTCTCTCTCTCTCTCTCTCTCTCTCTCTGTAAGCAGGAGAATAAACGATTTCCATGTCCCAGCTATACGGCAGATCCGATACTCCGTGTGCATAATTGATTCCCGAGGGTTGTTGTACCGAAGATGGACGGTTGCGCGTTGTCTTTGTCCGTTAGAATAGTAATTTTTGCTCATCGTCTTGATTTCATTTTTGTATTTACTGCTCGTTAAATGACAAGCCATTTTGAACGTTAGAAAATATGCATTGAAAAAATTTAACGAGCTAATAGTTGACTTAAAATACTCGCAGAACTTGATTCAATGATTCACGACCCGTTAGACGTAGTCGCTACAGCTTTGAGAAAATACGGCGATCTGCAGATTTAGGATGTGTATTATTGCAGTGGCAAGGTATACAGCAGATAGAGAGAGGCATGCCATCGAACTGTATACTATTTTTGTTCTTGAAAGTTCAGCGGCCTTGCCTGCGATCGATAATCGCGTTTTATATAGAACAGAAGCGACACCTGTATCAGAGCCCTGCGAGCTCAGCGACGTTTGACGCGCGCGCGGCCGAAAGTCCGCTTCTCTCGCTCTCAAAAGTCTGCACCGACACTACACCGACTTCTTTCCCTTTCTCGAGCTGTAAACCTGTATAGACATAGAATATTATGCCTCGAGTCGCCGTCACTTTGTTCACATCTCTCGTACCGAGGCTGAGGGCTTTTTTGCCAATGCACAAATGGTTGATTGCTGCAAAGCCCGTGTATACTTTTTTCGATTTACCCTTTTACTTGGCTCGATGTATACGTGGTATCGTCCATTCACGCTGTTGCTCGTTGAAAATGATAAACTTTTTCAATAATCGCACTGTGCGAGACAATGCGGCGCATCGAGAAGCTCTTGTTTAAGTTACCCCGATAAGATGGAGAAGAGAACAAGACATTCGACAATACGTTTCAAGCTCTTTTTTTGTTGTCGCTAGGCTGATAAAAAATCTTGATCATAAAATGAACACAATTATAATTCCTTTGTTCTTAAGATTGGTCAAATAGTCGAAAAAATAAAAAATAAGTATCTTTGAGTGAACAAAATACAAATAAACTTCGATTGCTTTCTACAAGCGACAAGTTAAAGCAAGTTCGTCAACACTCGAGCAAATATTTGATCAGGCCAAGAGTATATAATAACAGTAATTTACATAATGCGCGTAAATGTAAAACAAATAAAAGATCATGATGTACCGTATATGGGGCAAATTTCCTGAAGTGTCCTAGCGCTCTGCCGCACGGCACTTTTTGGCCAAATCACTCAATTTCTAACTCGGTGTAAAAGTATCAAAACACACCTCAAAAAAATAACTAACTAATGATTTCGATAGGAAATTTCCTCAGCTTTCCGATGGTGAGGTCCAATTTCCTGGAATTTTCTATTTTCACCCGGAAAATTACCATCAAACATTCAGAGCTCAATATCTCGAAAAACGCCACTTTTTTTGCTTTTTTTATTGTTCCAAACGAAAGATGAGGTCTTTTTACATCGGGTATGGTAGTTTTCAGAGTGTATTTTTGATGAAAACTAAGGAAAATACGGGAGGTTTTAGTTAGCGCTCGGCCGCTCGGCCTGATTTCCAGCCTTGCGCGGCTCGCTGTAACTTGTAACTCGCTCTTATGACATTGTGATTTGGCTGGAAAAATTAATAAACATATAGTTTCGATAGGAAATTTTCTCAGCTTTCTCATGGTGCAGTCGGATTTTCCGATAATTTACATTTTCACCAGAAAAAATGGACTTGAAGGTCTATTTTCTACTTTTTCTAATGAAAATGTAAATTATCGGAAAATTCGACTGCACCATGAGAAAGCTGAGAAAATTTCCTATCGAAACTATATGTTTATTAATTTTTCCAGCCAAATCACAATGTCATAAGAGCGAGTTACAAGTTACAGCGAGCCGCGCAAGGCTGGAAATCAGGCCGAGCGGCCGAGCGCTAACTAAAACCTCCCGTATTTTCCTTAGTTTTCATCAAAAATACACTCTGAAAACTACCATACCCGATGTAAAAAGACCTCATCTTTCGTTTGGAACAATAAAAAAAGCAAAAAAAGTGGCGTTTTTCGAGATATTGAGCTCTGAATGTTTGATGGTAATTTTCCGGGTGAAAATGGAAAATTCCAGGAAATTGGACCTCACCATCGGAAAGCTGAGGAAATTTCCTATCGAAATCATTAGTTAGTTATTTTTTTGAGGTGTGTTTTGATACTTTTACACCGAGTTAGAAATTGAGTGATTTGGCCAAAAAGTGCCGTGCGGCAGAGCGCTAGGACACTTCAGGAAATTTGCCCCATATATAGAGCTATATGTATCGATCTCATTGAAAATTCATGTGAAATTTTGTGTGGTTACAGAAACCGGCTGGAGAGCAACACCGAGCACTGGAACGCCCTGCTGCTGTCGCTGCGCGAGCTCATCGAGTGGGTGATACGCAAAGACACCGAACTAACGGGCCTCGGCCCCGTCTGCGGCGACGTTGCGGCACTTCAGAAACAGCAGGTAAACAGCAGCATCATGGCACACGGCGTGTCACTCCCCATCCTCGACGCGGGCATCTTTGTCGCGCGAACTTATATAGTACAGAACAGAGAGAGCTAAGTTACAACGCTACATTGCTAAAACTCAGCGAGGCATCGCATCGCGCGTCACGTCGTCTCGTATACGCTCGATCAAGAAAAGCTGCTGCTGCTCCAAGCTTGTGTGTAGCAGCAGCATGCCAGCGCATAGCTCGCGGTTAGCCACAATCGCCGCGCACCACCGAGCTCATTGGCTGGCTGGTTGCTTTCTCGCTCGAGGATCGCGTCCCCCGAAGCTGAGAGAGAGAGAGAGAGACAGAGAACTGTAGCTTCAACTCGATACATGTCTCTCTCTCTCTCTCTCTCTCTCTCTGATCTGGTTCTAATGCCGATTATAGCATGCGATTGCCGCCTCCGTGTTTGTGTACGTGTTAACTCGAGAGGTGAGCCAATGCGGCAACGCGCTATATACATAGAGCCTCGGGTACTGTAGCCTCGGCGACTGCTGCTATGCTGCCACGGCACTGATAAGGCTCCGCGCTTCGGCGGAGCACGAGGATCAGAAGCTTGTAGCAGTTGGAGCTTGGGCTTGGGGTTTAATCGCTCTCTCTCTCTCTCTCTCTCTCTCTCTCTACGCCCCCGACCCTTCCGTCTCTAATTTTGCCTCTCCCTTCCTCTCACTCGCTTGCCACATGCCTCCAGATCATGTCGGCTGCGTTGCGGCTGTTTGAGACTGCGGATGCGCTGCTGCTATATTTGCTCGAATCATTAACGATATTGCACGTCTGCTGATTATAACTGGATCTTCCATATGAGCTCGCGATTATATAGCATATTATGCAAGCGTAAATAATCATACGTTTAAAGACCCACCGCATACGTGCACATAAGTTATGCATGCGCGCGAAAAATTATATTGAAAACAAACATGCATTTTCACTTTGAACGCGTTACGTATTAATGCGATGCAGTTGCGTTGGGAGTTTCTAGTTCTGATTTTTCCTCCGTCTAAACAGAAAGAAAAAGAACAACTGTATATCACGCGCCGTGTTGTGTCTATTCCGCGGGTATAATAATTCAGACTTACATCTGCTGAAAGTTTTATTAGCTATGCTTTTTCGAAATTTTCTTTTCCTACCACCTCATTGCTCAAAGTATTCAACGCGCGCTATAAGTTGCGGGTATCATAGTCTCGCCAGCACCGCAAAGTTAACTTGTTCAAAGCTAAAAGGTGAAACTCTTTGGGTCGAGTCGCTGGGCTCATTCGCGCACCTGCGACTCAGCTTGCGGCTGCAGCGGCACAGCTACTACTTGTTCTCTTCCTTATGTATATTCTGGCACTCTCGCACGCGCGCGCGCGCGCACTATACTTACAGCACGCAGCAGCAAGCGCCAACGGCGGCGGTGTGTGTTGATCCTGTGTAAAGTAGCGTAGTAGTAGTGCGAGCAGCGCGTGTTTGCAACTGCATAGCGGCGCTCGAGCTTTCGCGAAATTTATACCCCCGACAGCTTAATGTATGCGTTTCTCTCGCATACACCACTCTCTGACGAGCTTGCTTGCTTACTTGCTTGCTGCAGCTAGGCTGCTGTTGCTACATGTACCTATCTACTCGGGGGGTAAGGGACTGGGACTAGGGATGCGCGAGCTATACTACACACAGTCTTGCACTTAAATCGTGCTACGAACCTCTCTGACTATGTAGTACACAGCTTCTCGAGTTCGGCGAGATGCTTTATCGATCCGCACCCCCGCGCGCGCGCTACGATATTATTTTTTCCAATATTCAGCCGGTTGACCGCGGCGAGAAACAAGAGAGGAAAAAAAAATTACCGCCCGAGGGTGGGTAGGTAGTGTTGCTGCGCTTGCACGATATTATTTCGATAGATATTGATTTTTTTGTCGCTCAAACACTCTCCTATCAATGCCTCGAATAAATTGAGCAACAAGCGGCCAATCAAAACGACGCGTACCCGTTGAAACGAACGGACGAGAGATCTACTCCACGGAACTCGTGCAAGCTTGCGCGAACCAGCTGCTGCTGTGGCAGTGGCGGCGAGCTGACATCATTACACGCGCGCCTCGGCTGGCTCGATTGTTCATTAATTATTTATATTCTGTATTTATGTGGACGCGTGGCCTGCAACGTAACCGATATCGCGGGCACGTCCGAGGCTGAAATTCAGCAGTGCAGCTTGCTCGGGCAAGCGCAACAGCGATGTTGTTATTGTGCAATTCAATGATATTAATGGGAGCTGCATTTTGTGTTCTAGGACGATCATCGTGGTTTCCGGAGGCAACTCGAGGACAAGAGACCGGTTGTGGAGAATAGTTTGCTTAGCGGACGCCAGTACATCGCCAACGAACCGCCGCTATCGGACACCTCGGACTCCGAAGGTGAGAGAGCTGCCCTCTTCGCTCGAAGAAGCGCATAAAGCGCCCTCAAAACGATGCCCGCGTGAATTGCGGTCGAATGATGAAATGACCCAAACATCGCTTACTCGAAGGCAATTTCGCGATGAAGCGCGTTGCATATAGCCGTGCATCAATCGTGTTTTGTTTGCTTTGTAATTTTTATATTGTTCTCATTGCGAAGCGTAAGCTCTCCTAACTCGGCCCAGTTTTTAACAACGCGCAACCAGTGTAGCCAATATGCGTACAAAATGTATTCGTATCTTGATTGAAACTTGCTCGATATTTAATAGAGCCAGACTAGAGTACGGAGCAAAACTATATATGCACGGCTGCCTGCTCTGTCGGCAGCATTTCATAAACCACTTCGGAAAAAGTTCGGGCGTGAATTTTTTAGTATTTAACTAGCGCGCCCGACGCCGCCGCCACCGTCGTCGCGCGAGAAACAATATCACCCGGGTAGCCGTTTTTATTATTCGTGTGCAGCAGCAGCGAGCAGCACCAAACCGGCGGCTTTTCGCGCTCGGATACGCCTGACAACCGGCCCGATATAAATTATTAGCGGGCGAAGAAAGAGCGCACCGCGCACCAGCGATGCAATTAATTGGCTTTCGCGCGTGCAATGAATCACATATCTGACAGGACTAGTACGCACATTGGCTGCTGCAGCAATTCTGCGCTATCCTGCGCGCTATCGCATCTTTTCGCCTCGTTTTTCCTCTGCCCCCGCTTATTTGGTCTTTTTGCGCGCAAATCGTGTGCACGTACATACACCAGCTGATGTGCGGGCGCATCATCACCCGCACCCAGCCCGTTGATTTATTCGTGCCGAACGAATTTTCCAAGCTAGGCTTCAGCCGCATCGGCAGCAGCAGCAGCCGGGCCAACGAGGCGCTTCGCGATTCGACGATTATTACGAGACAGCTAGCTTTCATTTCGTGATTTGATGTGTTTACAGCTGGACGCGACCTGGATGGCGACACGCGAGCCTACATGAGCGCCGAGGAGCAGGCGCGCGAGCTGACTCGCAGCATTCGACGCGAAGTCAACAAGTTGTCCGAGCAGTGGAATGCGCTGATCGAGCGCAGCGATGCCTGGAAACGCAAGCTCGACGAGACCGCAAGCGTGAGTATTTTCAAGCAATATTTTTCATAGAACGTATACATACACCGTGAGCAAAAGAGCTGTCTGCGTGTCTCCATGACCTTTTGTCAATATAACGTTCCTTGTTTTTGCTCGCCGAGTAATAATCCTTAAAAGCAACGCGTCGATCGACCTGTCCGTTCTGACGCACATGTAAGCAAGATATCGCATCTCGCGCAGAAGCTCTCCCGTGCCGAAGCTGCATCAGCAGAGTATCATTATTACCGACGAATTGGAGTAGCCGGGCCTCTCCGGCTCTCGTGTCTGCGTGCAGTGTGTGCCTGTGTGTACAGTGCACACTTATGTGCACACATGCGAGGAGTATCTCCGCGTGCATCGAAGCGAGTGGCTTGGCGAGATTGAGCTCTCGCGGCGCGGCCCCTCCCGGCTCTATAAATACGGCAGAACAAACGCCTCGTCAATTAGTTGATTGATCGCCGCGACGCTATTTGGTATATATTCGGCTACTTCTGCATTTCGATCTGTCTCAGCATTCTGCTAGTGTCGGTGAATAATAACTTTGCGATTGCTCACCGTTCGTTCCCTCTCTGTTCTACTTTAGTTTCGAAGAATTGCGTATACTTCGGTTTACTTTTTGTTTGTATTTTAATTTTTTACTCTTAAATTTATCTTAAAAAAATTGTATTGGCATTAGACGTATGATGCGTTACCCCCGGTAGAAATGCCCAACAGTAATAATGGCCTTATGATTAAAAAATTTCCATTAAAAATGATCCGAAAATTTCAATTAAATCATTTCAAAAAATTTAAACCAGTTTTCAACCACTTTAAGTACGTTCATACTATTTCAAGTCTCCGCCGCTAGATGGCGAGTACCTTTAGCTGTAAATCTGCAAGTGGCTAAGTCTTCTAATAATTCATAATAAAAAAACAGGCTAATTCACTCATTCACTTGATGATTGTGTCAATAGATTTGTACGAATGCGATTTTTCTTTTGACGCTGTTCGTGATGCCGTTGCCATACTCGCATTCCAGACACTTGTATCATATATATTGATGTAGATCGTGCCTCGAGCAAAGACGGCCGAATGCGTGCGAGCAAACACGACATTTCCTCCTTCTCCTCCTTTATGTACACGAACGCAACAAGCCTGTGTGCCAAATGTATAAAGATCTGCGTCCGAGTTTCTTTGTGCTCCGAGAAAGAGAGAGAGAGAGAGAGATCCCCCCTCCTCCGAGTCTTGCATTCGTGTATAAAGTTAAGCCAGATGCATGTATATGCTCGCATGCTCGTCGCTGCATGTGCGATTCAATAAACACGCTTGTACATACAGCCTATGCATTGCTACTCACTACATATAAGTCAGAGTGGTGCGGGCTAAGGCTTTGGCTGTCTCTCGGAGATTATTGCGATCGAGTGTTCGTGAGAACACGCAAGCACTAGCCGAGCCATGTCACGTTGTGATTCAGAGCTGCGCTAAAAAAATATTTCGTTTTGAACCCTCGCGTATACGCGATGCAGATCTTTTACACGTGATTTGTCCACACGCCAAGGGGATAAACTCGATAAAGTGCCTGTATTAAGGTCTACTATGCAATCGCATTTGAGCTAATTAATGGTCCTTCTCTGACAAACTCGTTAGATTTTGTTCTCCATCAATTAATTGCATGGACCAGTAACCGTTGCAGTATGTGTCTCTGCTGCCGCTGCTACTTTTTTTTTTAAATCCCTCTGACTTACAAAATCGATGATTAACGATGGAGATGTATGCAATTAAATTAAATGAACCGATCCCCCTTCCCTCATCAGGACTAATTGGCCACGTTGCTCCATTTGTTGCGCGAGATCTTGTCCGCCCTTGGTCATTGATTCGATGTAACCAGACAACGTTGTTAAAAAAAAAAGAATCGAGTATGTCTGCTTGAAGAATCGTTGATTAGCTCCCACCATAATTTCACCATAGAAATTAGCTCCGATCCCTTTGTTTTTAATATACGTTACGGTACTCGATTGCTATAAACTTCCGAGTTATTCGAACTAATATTTTTGTTGTGGTTTGACTCATTTCTGTACAAGTCGTAGGTGTGAGTATCAGTAATAATACACGGAAAAAAGCAACGAGATAAATATATCACTAGTTTGGGAGATGAGTGACATTTGTTTCTATTTTTATCAAAGCCAAACGTCAAGACCAACGGACCGATCGGTCTACTATAGACCAGTAAAAAAAATATTATGCTCTCGAGACTCGTCGGCGTGCGCGCATATAACCGACGGCGTAGCTGTGAAATTAGTAAATCTACGCGTCTATATAAACCGGCATCGAGTACGTATGTACATACGGGGGGTTACGCGCGCCGCGTTCCAGTCGGCTGATCGCTCCGATTTTTTCATTCCGCAGACGCACTCTGCAGCATCATTGTACAATCAAAGCCAATTCATGCTCACGATCGCGCTCCTCTCGCAGCCGAGGCTCTCCATTCACGAGTTCTAGCTCTTTCTCTCTCGCTCGCTCCGTTGTGCGTATAGTTCGGTATTTTCCACGTCAGCCCCGACGCCGGGGCGTGCTCGCGTGCGTAGAGCAGCGTAGTACGCGACACGCGTATCTCCGATAATAATGCACGCGCAGTCATGTGCACACTCGTGCGTATACACACAACCGAGGAGAAAAGAGTCGAGAGCTAGCTCGAGCGTTCGCGACGACGACGACGATGACGCTTTCCGGTAATATATAAATGTAACGCGTTCACGCGGTGCGACCGGAAGCGCCCGCCGCGCGCGCACCATGCCCGTCCGAGTCCATATTACGCGCACCTGTAATCGCGCGAGCACGACTCGAGCACGGAGCATAAACTGACTTGCGTGTTGTTTGCGTACGATGGAGTATGCCATACAGAAAGAGTGCTCCGTTTTTTTCATTCAGCTCAAGGGAGGAAGCTCGAAAAAGAGAAAAGAAAAAAGATCCTACGTCAAACGAGGAGCATTTATGAATCGATGAGCCACTGTGCATAAGAAACGAGTGTGGTCACCACACTTGCGCGTATTATATTATAGACGAGCGTGGGGCTGCGAAGCCCGTATAGTATGCAGTCTTGATAAACAGCAGCAGGTCCGCACGGGTGAGGAGGAGCAACTTCGAAGTCTAGCGTCGATTTTTTTTCCCGCGACATTTCAAGTATCCCGTTTATTCCATGAGAGACGACGGTCTGCTGCTGCTGCTAGCTGCTGCTCCATGAAATACGCTCAGCGTCATGGTAGTGTAAGCCCCTAACAGAGCAATTTATTCGTCGAAAGTAAAAGATGAGCTGTCGGTATAATGTTACAAACGCTCTACTGTGTGTATATATGTCATATACATTGCGCTCGTGTGTGTATATATGTGTACACAATATTATATACAAGTCGCTCTCTTCTTCCACCTCCTCTGCTTCTTCGTCTTCTTCTTCTTCGCCTACTTCTTCTTCTTATTCTGGAGCTGCTCTTTCCTTTATATGCATCGTGCTGGTCTCCGTGTATAGAGGCGCACATATTTACTCGGCACGGACGCACACTCGCGTACACACGAGAATGAGCGCGCCTCCATGCGCTGCTTGCGAGCGTCTCGTTGACACATACATATACCTACTCGGACTCGGAGCGACTGCCGCTGCTGCTGCTGCTCCACCGGAACGCATGAATGTAAGGAGGGGCCCTATAAGCCGTGTGTGTGTGTGTGTTCGTGTGTACGCGCCAACAAACTCCGTCGCTGGCGACTTCAGTTCACTCTCACTTGTCAGAGCGCGAGTACACTGCACAGCAGCAACAAGCAGCAGTAGACAGTAAACGAGACTCAAAAAACCAGCTGGTTTGTGTCGAGCTGTGTGCGGGGCGAGCTGCGCTCGAACGATCACGGACAGGCTCTTATTTTTATTTTTTGTTTTATTTTTGCCACTAATGCGGCAGCTTCTCGCTCTCTCAACGGTCCTGCCCGGTGAATCCAGTTTTCAGAGCGAATCTCGCGCGCGGGCTCGAATTAAAAAGTCATCGATGGCTCGAGCCGCCGTCGCCGTCACGTGCCGCTCTTGTTGGAGGCTTTTGCGGCCAAAGTGGCATTAGCCGCTGAGCCTATTGTATATAATATACACACGGCTTAGCTCGCCTGCTCGTCGTGAGTTATGATTTCCGACAAGGAGGCGACTCTTATTGTGCGTTAGCGCGACTGGCGCCGCTATTCTACTCTCGCTCTCTCGCTCTCCACGCGATTCCCTCGAGTGGCAAATGGCAATTCGCGCGTCTAAACAATGACACAAAATCTCGGCTTATATACAAATGTGCGTGCGTACCGGTGAAAACATGACGAATCGACGAGTGTGACAGTGTGCTCCGAATAGTGCAGCTACGACGAAAAAAATCTACACAAATGGAGCTGGTGAACGGTGGTGGTGGCATCGAGATGCTGTCGAGGCGCAGCATCCACATCAAGGACTATAATAGTTACGAGGACGACGATCAGGACGACGACAGTCTGAACAGGACCAACGAGACCGACGACGGCGAACTCAGGCTCGACCTGTCGATGGCCGAGCAGTTCTACTACGAAGTCATATCGTCCTTCCAAAAGGAAGAGGTAGATAGTCATAAAGCACTTATACACGTACATACATGCGCGCACGTGACAATATAAAACTGCAGAGTCGGCTTGCTCCTATAACGAGGCGCACAAAGCTCCCAACTCCATGCAAAGACCTTGATAATATGTGCGCGCAACGAGGTTTATATTTGGTGCAACGTGCTCTCTCGCGAGCGATCATGCCTCTGCGTATGCAGCTTAAGGTTATTCTTGGCTTGCAATGTGCAGCACGTCGGTCGTAGAGAGCGCGCGTGCAATAACAATCGCGAGTGCATTCGAGTACATATCGCGGATCATGTACCGAGTCTTCACACTCGAAATCCCACGTAATAAGTTTTTAACCGATCGTTGCGATGTACATCGACAATCGTAATCCTGGCCTCGAATATCGCTCGGAGGTTCGGTTGTCG